CGTGTTTATTTCTTCCATAGTTTAGACGAACTTAAACTCCCTGTTAGCAAATAATTTTAGTTAACTTAACGACGAACTGTTTAAGCTAACAACGCTTGATTATTGCTCCTTAGTTATATCAGTAAAAAAATGTGTTGGTTGAATGTTATCTTTATATTATTCTCATAATTTAATTTTATTTTATTCACTATTAGTATGATTAATTATTAGAGTGACGTTCAAACTTATTAAGCTCGAAATACAAAGGTACATAATCCTGATGTCAAAATCCCAAATAACATTATAATTAAATTTATAATAATCCTAGTCTTTTTTATCGCAAATGAATTCAAGAATAAAGTGGGAATACAAGAAAATTATTTATTTTAAATATACATTTTTAGGGAAGGGGGGATGCTTAAATACTTTTATAAATAGCTTTTATGTAATATAATATTTTTTAAAATATAGAAAAGGCCTTGTTTATAGATTTAACTTTGAATAAAAATAGTATAATTCAATTGAGATTGAATATTTGTACTTGGAAGGAAAGAAATGAATCAACACACGTGATCACATGCATAATGGGATGGGATTTTGGAATAATTACCAGCAGTATCTGATCACATTTGTTTGTACCACACAATGTATGGGAATTAGTTTCCGTTGATATTTGGTCACGATAATTCCCTTTTATATCCTTATTGAACCTTTTCTTTTTGTTTTTTTTTTTAAAAAAAAATGAACGTAAATAGTCATGAAATTGATGAAATAATTGAATCTGAATTCAACAAATTAAACGTTTCAAATAAAAATTGTTCATATTGCAACGAACCATTATCCGAGAAATTATGGTGTGAAGAATGTGACCCTTGGTGTATAATTGAAGGATGGACTAGTGGAAATTCTGATATTGATAAATTCATCAAAGATACAATGTATAATGCAAGAAATTATACTGGCTCAAAATTCCTTGAATGGGTGCCTTTTGATAGGTTTGCAGACATAAAAGAAATTGGTGAAGGAGAATTTGCCAAAGTGTTTTCTGCAATATGGATCGATGGTAAATCATATTTTAATAAGCAAGATGATGGAAGTTGGAAAAAACCTGATCCTGATCCTATGAAGGTTGCATTGAAAAGGTTAAATGGATCACAAAATATGTCAACCAAATATTTTAATGAGGTATTTTACATTTACATTCAATTATTTATTAAATAAAATATTTCTAATTTTCTTAAATTTTGTGGAAAAACTAGCTTAAACCACATTGGGATTTATATTATAAAACTTGTAATTCATTAAAATTTTATGGACTAACTAAGGATCCAGAAACGAAAGAATTTATTATGCTAGTAAAATTTTTCCCTGATGGAAATTTGAGAAGTTGTCTTTCAAATAATTTTAATAATATTTTATGGAAAGATAAAACTATTAAATTAAGTCATATTACTTCTGACCTTAAGATTTTCATAGTGGAAATATCTTGCGAGATAAAAATACTTCTTATATTTCAGATTTTGGATTTACAGGACCAGCAGATAAGCAAAAATCAGATGATCGAATATATGGAGTATTACCATATATTGCTCCAGAAATCTTGAATAGAGAACCATACACTTTTGCTTCTGATATCTACAGTTTTGGCGTAATTATGGCTGAATCTTCATCTGGAAATCCTCCCTTTTATGATAGGAATCATGATTATAAATTATCTTTAGATGTTTGTAATGGACTTCGTCCAGAATTTGGAAAAGGAACTCCTGAATTGTATAAGAAATTAGCTTATAGGTGTATGAATGCAAATCCAAATCAAAGACCAACGAGCTGTGAATTAGATGATACATTGAATTTTTGGAATAAATCTATTAATTGGTATGAAAATTATAAAGATATTAAAGAATATGGATATTATGGAAAGGAAATAAAAGAAGCATTTGAAGAGGCTGATAAAGAGATACCAAATATTTCAATTTCACGTAAAACTAATCCTGATGCTGTATATACAAGTAGAGCATTTGCGTTTAAAAATTTGACAAAACCTATGAATTCATCTTTTGTTTCTTCATATATTGAAAAGGGTGAGAATAATCTATGTATTCTATGTATTGTATAAATTTTGTTATTTGCGGTATTAAGGATGGTTGCTAATTTAGTTATTAATAAATTTTCAAGATTCTAAATTATCTGATTTAGAAATTCATTAGCTCATTGCAATTATGTCGTAAGTAATAACTATCAAATAATATATTGAAGTCTTTTATTATTTCCGTATATTTTGTATATCATAATTTAATTTTTGGCTCAGGAAATCTAATTTAACGTTAGCAATTCTCGTATTATGATCAATTCACGTGGTTTCTGATTATTATGTAATAAACTATTGAGACTTATGAAGTAGCAAATGTCGCAGCATTGCATTACAATATAATTTTTTTTTTTTGATTGTTAGACTTGGGCAAATGAATTAAATTATAAAAACCAAAAAAAGCGAAGTATTCCAAGAGCCAAAGGAAAAAATAGGCGAAAATATATTCAATTGCTATGTTACAAAGGGATCAAAACTATATACAGAAATACAACGAAAATCAAAACTAAATTATAGTAAAAAAAAATAAATGCCGTGCTTAGTCCGAAGAAAGCTACCTGAAATATGAAGCTATATAATAAATATAATTGCTGCAGCTTGCTGTAACTGAAAAAAAATAGTAAAAAATAACACGATTCGCCTGATGAAAAGAAATTAACTCAAATAATCAAAAAAAAAATAAATTTTAATGCTCCCAAATAGGAACCTAGAGAAAATAAAAGGGTGCAAGAAATCGAAATTGTAAGGTGAGACAGGTGAGACCGAAGCAATCTAACCCATAACTATAAAAAAAAATGTATTTATGTACATGCGTTAACTATTCAATCCAAAGAGGAATCTAAAGAAAAGCCCCGTATTGATCGAACCCAATAAAATAAAACAAAAAACTATAAATAAAAATAAAAATATACTAAATTGAAAAGATCGAACCCGTAAGATTTGCCTTAAAAAAAAAAAAATAAAAAAAATAAATAAAAATAATTCAAAGAAATAATCAAAAAAAAAATTTACCTACGCAAAATTATTTAAATTAAAAATTAATAATGAATAATATTAAAAAATAAAAGATTAAAGGTTGAAAAAATATTCAACGCTGCGATTTCAAACAAGCGAACCCGAAACTCTAATTAGTTGAAAAAGAAAGAACTTAAAGTTGCGATTTTTAACAAATATTCGGCCCGAAGCAAGACTTCTTTATCTTTTCTAAGCTAATTGATGTTGGACGATTTAGTCCAATGAATTGAAACTTGCGATTCCGATTTTAATAGCTGCGCCACACGGATGTCATTTTACGCAATTCCTTTTATTGATCAACTTCACTTTGCTCCTTTTTAGCAAACTATTGAATTTCCAAAAGCGCACGATAGAGATATTTTTTCTTTTACAATATTTAAAAAATGAGCAAGTGGCAATCCAACATTAAACAAGAAACAAAAAATATCTTAACAGGAAGTAACATCAGAATGAATTTAATGAATACTTTAGTAAATTTAATTTCGTTATCATTTATCAGTGCATGTGATCATATCAAAGTTATTAATTTATAAAGTTTTAAACGCTATGCACATTTAATTATACATGTATATATAAATATTAAAGTATTACATTCAACTACGCGATCATACTGCTTCTATATACTGTACATTTAATAATTGTTCTTTAAATTATTAGTAAATAGGATAATATAATATTTTAAAAGGAAATATTATATAATTAATAACTTAGACTGTAATATCACGATCATAGTTTAAATAAACTCTCTACGAGACAAATTACTCCACGGCCAAAGTATAATAATAATATACGGCCGTGTAATTATTATTTTTATATTATGCAGGTTTCGCGTTGATTTACCTTCACAAATATGCCTTTATTTATTTTATTTTGTTCATGTAATAATTTATGGCTTAGCAAAATATAAGCGCGGTCATAATGCTTGACCAACAATTTTTTCATGTGCCTGCAGGGCATGAACCGCTCCAAATGTGTCCTCGTTTAATGCTGGATTATCACTTAATGCTTTCACGCTAGCTTAAAGTTTTGTTAAAATTAATTAAATACTCTAAACATGAAGAAAATGTTTAAAACTATTTTTTATAAAAAATAAAAATGAATTTAAACTTTATTTTATTTTCCATAATTCTTGTCGCTCCAACACATAGTTCCTAAAATTAATTAAATAATAAAAAATATAGTTTTAATCAAGGAAAGGATACCTTCAGAAGTTCTGACAATAATTTCATCAGTTACAGATATTGACAACAATCCAGAATCTTCTTCATCCGTGTTCTTTATAATTTTCCGAAAATCTTTAATATTTCGTTTAACTCATTGCGATCTAATCCTTTTATTCGGAAAGATGTAATATAATCGTGAATTCGGATGCTAATATTTACGGTCATGAGCGGTCATACCGTAACCGATATCGGTCGGTCAAAGGTTTCTGACCGACCGATTTTGACCGATTTTGACCGACCGGTTGACCAAACATTTTTTAATTAGTTATCCAAGAATTCTTTGCATTTAATTAACAATAATTTTAATTATGTAATTTATTATAAATAATAAATTTTAATTTATTTTTTAAAAAAAGTTCACGATAAACTTAATATGCAGTTAGCCTAAAAGAAAGAAGTAAAATATATAATAAAACGAAGTTTTGCAAATACCATGTATTATTTAAAGCTTAAATAAAATTATCAATCAAGAACTTTATGTTATATGGCCGGTCAAACCAGTCAATATAACCGGTCGGTCGGTCAAAAGCTTCTGACTGTTAACCGACCGTTAACCGTCCATGACCGACCGTTACCATCCCTAGTCATAATTCCCGATTAAAAAATAATAATATTTATCAAATATATAAATTTTGAAATCAGTGATTATAACTATTATAACCTTGACTTGTTACATAAATCATTATGGAATCTATGAATTAATTACAGCGAATTTCTTAATGATGAGCTTAAAAGTGCGTTGTCGTTGAGGAAGAAATCTATTCTATTGCAATTTGCCTTATCGCCAAAAGGTAATGGCTAGCAGAAAAACGATTCTTACGACGATCAAAAAAGATTTCAAATAGCCGGCATGTAGAGGTTCGAACTGGGAAAAAAATTATCCTAATCAGCTTTTCAGAGATGGATATTACTGAATAATTATAACGTCATTTGTCAAGTGGTGAATAATTAAATTAATTCATCTTTAGAAGCTTTTTTGAAAAAGCTTTGCATTATATCTCATAGACCAATACGACCTAAGGTTCGACGTTTAACAAATACTGCTATGCTACTAGTTATAATGACTTTTGAAAAAAAAAATTTTTCAAAAAAATATTTTTGTTTCCAAAATCAGGATATGAGTTTAAAAACAATGATCTACTAGACGGTTTAAATTGGTGAAAAATATAATAAAGTAAAGTGAACAATAATGAAATCCAATAATAAACCAAGCTGTAAATACTAGAGATGGGAACGACTCTATCGGTTCAGCTCCGGTTCTGCAAGCTGAAGCGAACTGGAGTGAGCCGAACTGATAG